CTGTGAGGCTAAATGTCTCACACTAATCAATTCCCAAAGTCTTTTTTTCCAGTGCCAGTAAAAAGGCCCATTATGCATCTATTCTCCTGGCAAAGTCCTAAGAGTTGTCCTTGACACTCATCCCCATTTACTTCTCTATCTCTACCCAGTCACACCAAGTAAGATCTATCCATTCTTCTTCTACAGTGTATCAAAGGCATCTAATTCTCTCCATCTCTGTTGCTGCCACTATCTTAGAGTATAGCTGTGGTATCCTAATTATTTCCCTTTTACCCCTATTCATTTCCTACCCAGCCCTCTGACCCCACCCTGCATAGCAGTTAGAAGGAGCTTAGAAAAAACAAACCTGATCATATTTCCCCCCTGATCAAAATCCTTTAATGGCTTTCGATCCATCTTTGGATAAAGTCCAGACTCCTTATGGTCAAGGCTCAACATGATCTGGTCTCTGAATGCCTCTCCGGTCCCTCTGTTGTCACATTTTATTATGAAAATTTTTCACACAGACGGCAAAATGGAAAAAAATGTTTACAGTGACTACCCACTGACAGGCCACCTCAGTTTCACCATGAACATTTCACACTTGTTTTGGGTCTCTCCTGGTTGTGGTACATTCCAAAGTAAGCTGCGGGCTGTGGTCTCATTTTCATCACCGCTTCCTCTTATTCCCTATATTCTAGCCACAGGCAGCTTAATAGTCTTTGAATCAGTCAGACCATTTCCTATCTCTGGGCTTTGTGCCTATTGTCTCTTGTACCTGAAATGTCTTTGGCTCTTGTCAATTCCTGACTTATTCTTTAGTTCTCAACTTAAAACTTTCTCTGAGGAGCTGCCCCTGGTCCCCCAAACTAAATTAGATCCATCTTCCTGCCATATATATGATCTCAAGGTATCTTGTGCTTTTTCTATCACTTATCACAATTGGTATCTATATATTTATTTGCAAAATTATTTAATGTCTACCTCCTGTACCAGACTAATGTCATGTCTGTATTGGACCATGCTGGATCACTTCCACAGAAAGTCAACGAGTATTTATTGAATCAATTAAAGGCAGAATAAATGAATACTTATATAATAATCATAATTTAAAAAATACACGGACTAAGTAAATTTGTTTTTTTTTTTAAAGAGGTTTTTAAGAGCCTCTTGAAGAAGATGGAACTTACTAGCTGCCAGAACATAACCAGCAGTATATTAAAACAAATTATTAAATGACAAGATCCAGGGCTGGCACTTGAGCTGAGGAGAGACTGGTGGGTTTTAGTGACTTCTCTACCATTTTCACTAGCCGTTCCCCTCAAAATCATCCCAAATCAACACACAATCCAAGGAAAAAGTGTGTTTGCTATGCAAATGTAGCTAACATACTTGAGAGCATTTACCAAGGTGTAGCTTTGTTTTACACATGGTATTGAGCGCTTTTCCTGTATTCCATTTTTTTCCTGTGGCATAGGTTCTATTGCTGTTCCCATTTTACAGGTAAGGAAACTGAGAACAGAGTCATTTTAAAGCATGTTCTTTGACTTCCTCTTCTAATCAGGTTGCCATTCCTGTAAACTCACCTATAAGAAAAATTTATTCTGCCTGTGGCCCCATTTAAGAGTAGGAAAATTCATGTAGAAAACTCTCAAACTGCTCTAATGGAGAGAGGGTTTTAGTCAGTTCTAACAAGTCTGAGAAGAAAGAAAGAAGTCCACATATAAATTAGAGAGATTTGAGAGATGAAACCTTGGTTAGGAAACCCAGAGTTCTGTATCTGAAAAAACAAAACAAAACAAAAACAAAAAAACAGTAAAAACACCGTGTTGCTTTATTTTTGTAGTCATTCCAAACTCACTTTTCCTCATATATAATCCTACATACACACTTTCAAATGATCCCTGCCACGAATTTTACGCCAGATGGGAATACAATTTACATACAAAGATAAAACCATTGTGGTCTTCTCATAACAGGAGTTAATGGCTGAAGGAAAGAAAATGAGGCAGTGCAGAATTTCCTCATGGAGGCGCATGCGCTTAAAAAGGGTCTTCAATTTGAAGACAAGCTTTCCCCTCCTCTGTGTGACCCTCACAAATTAGTACCATCTGTGGGCCTCAGTTGCCCAGTTTCCTTATTTGAAAATGTTAATAGCATCCACTTAACAAGACTTGGAGATACTGAAATGCTCTATTTAAAAAGCTCAGCAAGGGTGCTGAAAATAGAAGATGCTCAAAGATGGTAACTTTAAAAAGGGGAAAAAGATAAAGATTGGGGAGGGTGGTAACTTTGATGCACAGAATAAAAGAGTCATAGGAAATATCTTTAATAAATACACATGATGCATTCTCTTTCTTCCCCATGGGAGGGGGAGTCGAGGAGGAAAGAGAGGGAGGGAGGGAGGTAGTGGGGAGAGAGAGAAAATAAGAGGGGAGAGCTTCGGTAAAAGTGTCCTTTAGCATTTGCATTGCTCTTAGCTGGCGGAACTTGCCTGCAGCTACCACTTACAATGCAAATTGAGTTTAGAGTCCTTCACACTAACTACACAGCAAAAAACCTTTCAGCTTTAAATAGAATACTGCAGTGTGGAATGATCTGAGCAAAGCAAAGAAAAATTCGGAGATAAATGTGAAGGAGATTTTGGAGGAAAAAAAAAGGACACAAAACCCTGACATACCTGACTAGGTAGGAAAATTCTGAAATATTAAAGAAGACAAAAAGAAAAGCAAGGTCTATACAAGGACCCCAAAACTAAGGTCAAATTATAGAGAAAGCGGATTTAAGTTCATAAAGGAGGAAGGAACTTTGGGGGCAAGCCCTCAACCAACAGGATTTTAACAAAGACTATTTTGATCTGGTGATCTTTCCCGGTGTACTTAGTACTTCTAAGGTATTCATCAGAAGGGAGGACGGACTGTCCCCCCTTCTGGCCAGCACCACTGCATGAATGGTCCCTAAAATGAATAGATGAAGACCACAGAGAACTTCCCGCTCTACCCAACTTCTGCTATTTACATTTTCCAAGTTCCATTTTTTTTTTCCTTCCCAGACTTTCACTAAGGTCAGGTCCAGAAACCTGAAGGCTTATTGTGAAATAAAGGTTTTGTTTAGTTTTCAGTGTTGTGTGTGTATGCCAGAGAATTTTCTGAAAGACTGATTTAGAAAGATTTTAAAGAGCTGTTCGCTATAAACTCATGTCTCAGTTTTGACTATATGAACCCAGATATTTTAACCAGAATCAGAGTTTACAAAAATGCCATAAAATAGGAACAGAGATCAAGGAACAGCCAGGGCCCTGAAAGCACTAAGGAAATCCATTTTTAACTTATTTCTTCATCACAGAGATAACAGCTCTATATACATGGCCCCAATTTGCCCATCTTCCCAGCTCAGTAAGTTTCCTGTGATGGCACCTGGAGGCATAATACAACACAGAAGGAAACACGAAGACAGCTCTCTTTCTTTGTTGTCACAATCAGAGAGGAGCATGCCCCGAAAACCCAAAGGACCCAAGGCCAATTTATGTCTTGGGTGACATGATCGGAACCACAGCTCATTATAATCTACCAGGTAAATGAGTCAGTGACAAAGCACTTAAGACTAAGAACATCTTATACCACCTTGTCATCCTGCAATAAAAAGAATCAGCAAGTATGGTGGTTGTATGGGGGAGGGACAGGCTGAACATCTTAAAAGCCATCTCTAAGCTCCTGAACGCCACAGAGCTCAAACAAGTCTGCTTAATCTGTCTAGCACCATGGACATATTAGGCTGGATGTTTGCCAATAATGATGATGAATGAAGAATCTATTTTCAATAGCACTGGGCATTCTTTTTCATTTAAAACTTATGGGGGTGTTTATGCAAGATGCCACCTTTGCCCCCAAACTGTGTGTCTCTTTATTTCTTTCAGAGTTTGAACTCCTTTACTACCCCATCCCCATCACGATTTTCCTAGGACCACTGATTTGATTAAGTATTCCGGAAAATTTAGTATCCAAGAATAACAAGAATTAACATACCTTGCTACATTTTCCTCAAGCCCTCACACACATTTTCTCACGTGGATATTACAAGTGATAATGCAACGCTTTCTATGAGAGGTTAAGGAAAGGGCCTACAGGTAGAAAATGAAAGCAAAGATGCAAAAGTTTTGGCGTTTGGATTTAAAAAATGCCTCTACTCTATTCACACACAAAAGGCAGAATGAGATTCCACCTGCTGACTTTCCCTGCCTGCCTGCTAACGTCAGACCAAGCTGGGGCTGGGGGGTGGGGGGAGACGACAATTTCACCTCTTGGCAAAGCTCAGCTTACTGAACCCTCTCGCTTTCTGCTGGCTGTTGATTCAGCAGAAACTACTGCTGCAGAATTCATAATGGTGATTTTAAAGGCCGCACTGATCGCCTTGCTCGCCCCACGTGTCAGACTCGGTTCGCTCGCTGCTGGAACGCGGTCTCCCCAGCTACATTTTTATTTCTTGCTAACGCACTTCCAAGGGGAGAGGGACTCGCCCCTTTGCAAAAGGCCTTTTGGGCTTCTGATTGTCTGAGCAGGTAACCTGGCCGGAGAGACAGACGGGCAGGAAATGAAACCATGCCCTCCCTGCAGCCACGGAGAGACACAACATCATTCCGCTCAGGGAGGGGAGGACCTACGATCCTCCTAGGCCCCTTCCTCATCTCCCCCGCAAGACTCCGGCAGACACCTCGGGGGAGGGGTCATCTGCCTTCAGCGGGTCGTCTTTCCAGTCGGGAGCCCCACCCTGAACAGCCTAATCCCCGAGGGCCATTTTAACTCCCGTGGGCGCCGGGTCCACCTGCTGCTGAGCGCCGGGCTCGCCTCGCGGAGCCCGGATGGATGTGGGGCGCACCGGCCGCCGCCCCCGCGGGCCGAGCCCCCGCCCCAGCCCCGGGCCCGGAAGAGTCTCCGCCGCTCGGCGCCCAGCTGCCCGCCGAGCTCAGCGATCCGCAACTTGCGCCCGGCCCCAGCGGCGGAATGCAGCGGGGCTGGCGTTACCTTCGGTCGCATAGCTGTGGTCGCGCAGGAAACTGTTGTTGATTTTGCGGGTATCAATGTCCTCCTCCATTGACAGCAGGCTTACTTGCGTGGGAACCAGAAGCCGGCAGACAAGTATCCATGATCCCTCCCCGCAGCCAGTCTCACAGGAGAGGGGGGCAGGGGAGCCGGTGGGACTGCACCATGGTCCGAGCCTGAGGAGGAGACGGGGAGGCGGAGAGAAAAAAAATAAAAACGCGGCAATGGAGCTGTCACCTCCTCCACTCGGGATCTCCGAGGCTGCGGCGGCTCCTCCCGCGGTGCGCTCACTCCAGCTCCAATTCCCAGCGAGGATGCTGCGCCCGGCTCCGCTGCCGCCGGGTGCCAAGATGCGCCGTGCCCCGAGGGGTCCGGGCCCGCCCGCCGCCCGGGAGGCGCTCACAAGCGGGGCTGGGGAGATGCCCAACAGGTTCCCCACGTTGGCAGCCGCTCCAAAATGCAAAAAAGGTCCCTCCTCCCCCTGGCAGAGCGGGCGGCCGCGACAAAATGGTGCCTTTCTGGACCCGAGCTGCAGCGGCGAGATGGCAGGGGCCGGATTCGGGCTGGCCCAGCGCGGAGCGGGGTGCCGATCCCACGGGAGGGCGGCTCCAGCCGGCGGGGGTGAGGACGGCGGCGGGGAGCTGGGCAGGGCGCTGCGGCCGGCGCCAGCGCACTCACCCTCACACCCACACGCGCGCACTCGCAGCCGCTGCCGCTGCTGCAGGAGGAGGCTGGAGGCGGCTGGTGCATTAAAGGCGAGGCTCCTCCCAACCGCGTCAGCAGCCCCAGGACTCTTCCCCAGCAGCGCTGGTGGCCGAGGCAGAGGCTGCGGCTGCTCTCTGCTGCAGTGGGGCGCACGCAGCCGCGAGCCGGCACCTGGGCAGCAAAGCAGCGCGCAGGCAGGTTCACGTGAAAGTCGTAGACGCGCTCTGGCAACCGCCCTCCTCCCGCGCCGCGCAGCCCAGGCCGGCGTTTTCTCGCGCCCCCGGAGTCCCCAGCTCGCGACCGTGCTCTGGACACCTGCGCTGCAGGACCGCAAGGAGAAGTAGGTCCCTCCCGGGGAGGCAGGGAGACCACGTCCAGATCCCTTTCTGCACACCCCGGTGCGAGGTCTGCGGTCCCTCAATCAAGTTAAAGGGCGAGGCCTGGGGTTGGAAACCTCCGCGAGGATAGAACGGGAAGAAGGGCTGCCATGGCTTCATTGAAGCCTCCTGTGCTAGGAATAGACAGCGGGGCAGGGGCCAGAACTTTTCTGCGACCACATACGACTTCCCCATTCCAAGCAGAGGCAACACCCCCTTCTAACTGAGGGCGTCTGTGCCTACACAGGCAGAGGGAAGCAGAGGGCTGGAGTTCCGAAGCGAGTCAACGCAGTCAATCTGGAAAAGTCCACCTTCCCGAGCTCTGGGCACTTCGTTTTGGACAGAATGCTGCAGGCCCGGCCATAGGTCTTGCTTGTGAAGAAGACACGACCCTGCAGGAACCGCTCACATTTGCTCCCCACATGGAAGGTGCCTTGGAGCCTGTGCCCACAGAGAGCCACCGCTACCCTGAGGGGATTTCGAAGATCCAATTAATACAAAAAAGAGGCCTGCCTTCCTGCTTCTCCTAGGAGGAACGTGCAGAACCCCCCCCCCCACGTTTCCGCAAATTACAAAATCTGTATTTGAAAGAAAATTTGACCACTATTATGAAACCAGTAAAAATCACTTATGAAGCTACCCAACTCACTAAAAAAACCAAACTGGAAAAGAAATTTGCCCAGTTTCCTCTCATGGAAGGTATTTGTTTCAGTGGGTGCCACGGCAGGGAGAGACATCAGCAAACGTCTTGCTCAGTTAAACTCCACAAGTTGGGCTCGATGAGCCCAGAGGGACCTGTGAGTTAATTATATACATACAATGCTTCGGCTCACACAATTGAGGAAGTATTTGAAGTTCAAAAAAATGGGAAAACAAGTTTTTAACTGAGGTTGGGAATTGCCATTAGATTTCCACGGAGGGCCGATGCTTCCCGCAGAAGGAAAATGGCACCGTCCCCATCTCCAGAAAGCGAGATGAAGAAGAGCATAGAAATATCCTTTGATGTAATTTTTAAGGGAAGTTCAGCCTACGATAGATTTCATTTTATTCTCGTCTGGTGGTTAAGCCTCGCATACTTGTTTGACTATCTGTTCAAATTTCACAAATGAAATTCCGATAACAAATTTAACCCCCTTCAGCCTCGCCTCATGGCTGGTTCCTCCACATGACGAACTGTATCCATCACCCAGGCTCCAATGGTCGGCTCATCTGCAGTTACACAGTTCAGCTTCTCTTGCTGATCAGCATTATAGGGAAGGGGGGGGGGGCGGCAGAGTTCCTCTTAAGAGTGGGAAGAAGATGGTTTGCCTTCTGTTGAAATGACTTTAAGCTGTGACAGGAGATCTTGGGACAGTATTTGGAAGTTCTCCCCTTATCTTCCTGGAATGTGGGCCTGATTGGAACAGAGCTGCATGATGAACTGGGTAGGCCCAGACTCACTGGCCAGGCTGTGCTTGAGGAATGTTCCACTCTAACCAATGGGAGAAATATCCCCTCCATAGATTACGCTTCTGGGTTTCCTAAATGTTCCCTTTCATGCATAGGGCAAAATACCTCCTCCATTTATTCAACGATCCTGCCAAAACAGATAGATCTCCGTGGATTAAGTTGATTCCAAGAGTTCAACTTTGTGGACGACTCTTTTCTACCATAAACAATGGGGACTAGTGCCTGGTCCAAAACCAAGAAAAATAAGGCTGTTGCTTTGTGCTTGAACACAATGACATGTGGTAAAGGAAGTAAGGGTAAGGGTAGGGGAATCCTGCAATCCTGTGGTGGTAAGAGGACTATATAGACCATTTCTCAGAAGACCTGTTGAACTTTCTATTCCTCCAACACATCAAATTCTTTCCACAGGCTTTTGAAATCTGCACATGCCATTCCTAAGCTCCTTCCTCTTGTTCTTGGCATTCTCCAAGATGTCAACTGAACTGTTTCTACTTCACTGAAGCATTATGTGACCAAACCCCAGTGTCTTCCTCTGGTATTTTCTGTCTCTGCATCTTTTGGGGGGTTGGGGCTTCCTCAAGGCTTACCACATTCTGTAATAGTTGTTTCATTATTATTATCAACTGTTCCTAATGTATCTCCTATATTAAATGTTTGGTGCTTAGTCGGTGCTCAATTATATCTGCTGAATGGATGTAAATAAGTATGTCTTCAATGCATTACTAACTGGACTTTTCCAGTTTAACAAATACTTGTAATATTTGGGTTTTATAGCTCAATCCTCATTAAAATTCTTGCAAAACCAAAACAGAAATGAAACCAGAAGCAAAACAACACTCAACTGTTGTGAGACAGTAATTTTCTACTTTGTAAGTTCTAGTCCAACGGAAATAATTGTCCTACTCATTCCTGCGTGTGTACGGACGAAAACTATCTACTGAGCATTTAATATATGCCAAGAATTGTTCTAGGTGCCGGGTATAAAGTTAAAAAAAATAGTCCCTTTCTTCACAGAACTGAAATTCTGTCATCTGATTTTAATAATATGAGCTTTCTTAGAGATACAACAAATGTGTTTTCAGTCAACAGACTATAGCATAATGTTAAGTGCCAAGGCTCTGCTATCAAGCAAAGCTAATTTTCTGGCACTTATCATTGTGTCCTTGAGTAAGTTACCAGATTCCCCTAACGTATTTTTTTAAACCTCTAAATTAGGGAGAAAAATAGTATCAGCCTCATGGAGTTATTGTGAGGATTTAATGATTTAATGAGATCGTGTAGTGAATGAGCTTGGAAAGAATATACTGCTATAATATCTACGATCATCCCACCAACACTAAGGGACAACTAGAAAAGCACCTGCTACGTCAGCCACTGGGACAGGACTGGATCAGCAATATCCATGCATAAACTATATAGTTAGTCTGCTGTGATGGAACTTAGCATCTAATTTACAATTTATGGAAAAGGAGTCATAAGCTGCCAAAGGGGCAGCAGAAGACACTTTGAAAGACAGACTGAATTCAGGCTTGTACTTTACACACACAAAAGCACAATTACAAATACACAGGCTCCTTAAATTCTACAATTTAAGGAGAATTGTATGAATATGCATGAGGACATAGAGACACATTCTTTTCTTTCTCACCCTTGCCATGGTCCCCCTCCCCCAACACCGTCATATGCCCTCACTTCAGTTAGGTTAGTGCTGCCTTACACCGAAACCTTTCAGGTCATCCTGTCCAATTAACACAATAAATATCTACAATTTTATTAAAACCTCTGACCTAAGCCAGCCTGGAGAGCTTTAACAGAGACCCTAGGTGTCAGGCAGTCCTGGTCTATCCCAGGTCAGGCATTTATAAATTTCATGACCTTTGGCAAGTAATTTAACATGTCTGTGCCTCTGTATTTGCAAAAGAGAAGACAATAATAGAAACCCCTTCACAGGCTTGCTGAGTGGCTTTAGACATGGCCCAACTGCTTAGCTCTGAGATGCGACTTCTCCCTCCTTGTAGTTCCTGGGGGTCTCCATCAGCACAGAATTGGAGAGATACACTACAAGTGGATCATTTAAGTGAACAAAACTGACTTAGAGACCTGAGTTTTACTACCTAGCAATCTGTCCTAATGAGCAACTAGAAACAGGATATATGAAATTTTACCATCTTGCAAAAAGCCCTCAATAAGCCACAAAGTCCTGTGGAATTAGGATCACCCCATATACGTGCAGACCTAATCACGTTTCTCTGTGGTGGAATCATACGAAATCCCTCTCCAGGATCACTAAGCACCGAGTGTACAACTGTCTGTCTGAGGTGATTTCTATGTTGATTGTCCAGTGGGCAACCTCTTGAGCTTCTAGCGAGGTTTATGATTCTTTTTGTACATGCTACTGCATGTAATACGCCACACAAGGGAACCTTTGATATGCCATTTAACCTAAGAAAAGAAAGCAAAACCTTTTGCTCTAAAAAGGTATTACATCTAGATTCTGGATACTTAATGGATTTCACAGAGTAAAACGTTCCTTCAATTATCCAGGTAATTTATGCAAATAAACAGTATGCTGGAACCACTAACATACTGGCTATTGAGAGCTGAACGGGCCGATTACACACATCTATTTCCAGCTCCGCTGTGAGGGGCATCATGCTGGTAGTTTAAAATCTGAACTCTGCCATGGTGGGATATGTATATTGTGGAAAAAATTTTAAAAATCCTATATAAATCGGGGCTTTGGGTTTCCTTGTTTGTTTGCTTTGAGACCTGATTGCTAAATATTTACCAGCACACCAGAAGCAACACAGTACTTGCTGATATATCTTCCGGCCCATCCCTGTCATCTACACAAAGTTCCTTCCAATTCTCAATGCTAAATTTCCCAGTCTGTGTCAAATTCCAGAGCATCCCACCACACAGCCAAACTTGAGCCATAATGCTAAATGTCTCTTAAAATCCTACCTTTACCATGAAGCTTTCCCATATCCATCAGAGGACCGAAGCCTTTGAGTGATCCTTCCCAGGCTGGATATGCAATTGGAAGAGACTGCCCCTATAAAGGACCTGACCACAAGAGCAATGTCAGGTGCACGCCCATTCTCGATGAATCATCCTTTTCTACTGTTCAGGCTCCACTGTCTCCTTACTTTGGGCCTGGATTTGCCTAAATGCAAAACAAAAACATCCATTCTGCCTGATCTCATTTATAACTCTTCAACATGTCTCATTAGGATATTAACACAATGGGAGAAGAAGAACAAAACTCCAAGGGCGCATATCTGAGAGCCCAAGACCTAATATCTTCTTGTACCTTTTCTCATTCAATGATTTTAGAGTTAAATTTAGGCTGTCTTACTCAAGATTGTTTTAATTCACATAATTTGTTAGGTATACGTGAGGATTTACAAAACAAGTTCAGCAATACTCAAAGGTTATTGTCTAGTTCCTGATTACTTTTCTCAAAAGAAAATTTCATATAATTCAAACAAGAATATATATCGGAAAATATCTTTCAAATTTCATTAATATGCATCAGCAGTAACATTTTACAGAATTTATCCTAAGAAAATAATCACAGATGTGGGCAAAAATTTAGCCATAAGGTTATTGCTCAGAGCATTGTTTCTGGTCATGAAAAACTGGAAACAACCTAAATGTCCAAAAATAGCATTGGCTAGCAAATTACGGTGGGTATATATAATGGAAAAGTATTGAGCCATTGATAAAATATTAATAGCTCACCCTTGTTGAGCGTATATTATGTACTAGGTACTGTGCAAGGGGTTTTACTAGCATCATCTCATTTAATTCTAACAGCAGCCCTTATAAGTACTATTATTATTCTCACTTCAAGGAGGCTAATAGAGATAAGATACCCAAAATCAAACAAATTGGGGCCTGGCACTCTGTGTGTGTGTGTGTGTGTGTGTGTGTGTGTGTGTGGGGGGGGGGGGGGGGGGGGGGGGTTGAGGTCACTCTTTTCTGAAAAATTCTTTTAAATGTTTTATTTATTTTTGAGACAGAAAGAGACAGCATGAACAGGGAAGGGGCAGAGAGAGAGGTGGACACAGAATCTGAAGCAGGCTCCAGGCTCTGAGCTGTCAGCACAGAGCCTGACACAGGGCTTGAACCCATGAACTCTGAGATCATGACCCGAGCTAAAACTGGACACTCAACTGACCGAGCCACCCAGGCACCCTGAGGTCACTCTTTTTTGAAAATGATTTTGATTTGTCTCTCTTATGAATGAATATCCTCTGAGTTGAAAATCACTTACTACTGTGTTGATGAAGGAATGGCAAGAGTGGAACCTTCACACACTGCTTGTGGGATTGTATAATGGTGGAGCCACGAATGGTTTGACAGTTCTTCAGATTGTTAAACAGCACATATGACCCAGCGACTTCACTTCTAGGTATATGCGCAACAGAATTGAAAACACTTATTCACACCAAAACCTGCTCATGAATATTCATGATGCAGCATTATTCAGGATAGCCCCAAAGTGGAAACAGCCCAAATGTTCATCAGCTAATAAGTGGATAAAATATAACATATCCAGGTGATGGATTATAATTCAGCTATAAAAAGTAATGAAGTACTGATAATGTGCTACAATATGGATCAGCCCTGAAAACATACGAAGTAACTAAAGACTATATATGGTATGATTCTGTTTATGAGAAATATTTGGGATGGGCAAATCCATAGAGACAGAAGGTAGATTAGGTGCCAGGGACTAGATAGGGAAATGGGAGTAAATCCAGACTTGGGGTCTCTTTCTGGGGTGATGAAAAAGTTCTAAATTAGATAAGGGAAACAGTTGCATAACTGAATACACTAAAACCACTGACTTGCATACTTTAAAAAATTTTTTAATGTTTTATTTATTTTTGAGAGAGAGAGAGAGAGACAGTATGAGCAGGGGAGGGTCAGAGAGAGAGGGAGACACAGAATCCAAAGACAGGCTCCAGGCTCTGAGCTAGCTGTCTGCCCAGAGCCAGATGTGGGGCTCAAACCCATGAACCATGAGATCATGACCTGAGCTGAAGTCAGACGCTTAACCGACTGAGCCACCCAGGTGCCCCATGACTTGCATACTTTAAAAAAGTGAATTGTTACAGTATAGTATCTCAAAATGCTGTTATTAAAGATTTAAAAATCTAGCTATCATAAGCCAGTGTTGCTTTTTGGAGTATGATATATCTTTCAGGCTAATAATAGTACAGAAAAAACTTAAAGGTATGTAATGACAAGGATAGATGTTTATGTTATGTTGTTTAAAAAGTCAAAAAACAATGTACTGAGTTTCCCCTTTCCTGGTGAAAAAAAATGTGTGAAAAAAATATGTGTATGTCAAAATCAATACATAAAAATACTGTGAAGTGGTAATGTGTGGTTATCTTTGTTCATATTTTTGTCAAAGAAAATTTAGGACATGTATTATTTTCAGAATAAGAAAATTTTTAAAGTTTTTTTTAATGTTAAGAAATACTTTTCCAGGGGCGCCTGGGTGGCTCAGTCGGTTAAGCGTCCCACTTTGGCTCAGCTCATGGTCTTATGGTTTGTGAGTTTGAGCCCTGTGTCGGGCTCTGTGCTGACAGCTCAGAGCCTGGAGCCTGTTTTGGATTCTGTGTCTCCCTCTCTCTCTGACCGTTCCCTGCTCACGCTGTCTCTCTCAGAAATAAATTTTGATAAAAACATTTTAAAAAATGAAAAAAAAAAACCTTTTTCAGATGAAATCTTGTATTGAAAGGTCAAAAATCATTTTCTGTATATGAGGAAATTGGGACATGGATATAAATGTATATGCTCCCAAATGCACAAAACTACTCTGTCCAGTAGAAATGTAATGCAGGCTACATACGTAAGTGTAGAATTTTTCAGTTACTACATTAGCAAGTGAAAAGAAGCAGGTGAAAAAATTTTAATAATATTTTTTTAATGTTTTAACAAGTGTTGGAAAAAAGATATTTTCTTTAATATATCAAAACTATTATGATTTCCACATATAATCAATATGAAATTATTAATAATCTATTTTTACTCTGTTTTCCATCTCAAGTCTTTGAAATCTAGTATGTATTTTACATATACAGTGCCTCTCAGAACTGGCCATATTTCTAGGGCTCAGTGACACCACATGCCTAGTGGCTACAGCAAAGGTATAGATAAACTTTTCCAAAAAGGTTATTCTATTCACAAAATGAGTTTTATTGTATTTTTTCAATGAGAAATTTTCATCTACTAAGGACTTGAATAAGACTATCATGCTAAATCAAACTAAGCAACATTAATACAAGGAACCTCACATCTATATTTAAAGTAATAAAACTGAATATGAAAAAAATATAGACACATGCACATATACATATATATATTAAATACAGTAGTACAGTTGAACTCAATCTGCATTTTTCCTTAAAACTAGTCAGCTACCTTAATAGAGGAAAAAAAGAACCAGATTCTAAAAGTGGGGAAATGACACCATATAATAACATATAATAGATAGAAAGGGGTAACTCAGCCACTGTCTCAGTGGTTCTTATAGGCCAACTGTTTAGTTCGAGCGTATGGCCTCAATTCCAGCCAAACTCTGCATGTCATGGCCAAAAAAAAAAAAAAAGGATTCCCATAGCTGGGTACCTGAGCTCTGTCATGACCACTAAAGGTGGAGAAATTTACAGATACAGAGATAGGAATCTGGTTGAGAATGATTTGTTCTTTAGACTGGATTAGAGAATGGAATTCTGTGCTCATATGATCAGTGGATTAATTTCTGAAGATTTACTCAATGAGATACACCATTACCTCTAACACACATAAACAGTTTTGTGTGTGCTGCTGAGCGCTTCTTCTTTCCCAACACTAATTTCTCTCCTAATTTCCTGGTACCACTCTCCGCCCTCCTGCTACCTCAGGTCAGGTTCCTTCTCTGGTGCATTTGCTGGCCCCTCCTCACTGTCTAATGTCTACACGTACACATACCCTAGACTTCCAAGTTCTTGGATTCCTCTATCCGCAATCTGACCCTGGGGGACCTCATCCAGGCTCATGGCTTGCCCCTCACGGGATGACAAGACCCCACACTTGGATTTTGAACACCAATCTCTTTTCTGATCTCTAGACTAGTATCACTCACAGCTGACCTGGTATTTCAATGGCCATACCCCCACCCCACGTGCTTCCCCTTCCTGTTACTTAGTTCCTTTCTCACTCCCCACATTCTTCCATCAGCAAATCCTGCCTGCCCTTGCTTCAAAATACATCCAGAACCCAGCCACTTCTCACCACATCTGCTGCTGCTACTGAGCGCCAACTACCATCTCTTATCACCATGACTGTTTCAAGACTTTGAGGACAGTGCTGAGTGAGCCTGGGATTCCTCCTTCGCCCCCTACAGAATGGTTTCTATGCAGCAGGCAGAATGGTCCTTTTAAATGCAAATCACTTTATGTCACTTTTCTGCTCAAAGCCCTTTTTTGGCTTCCTACACATTCAGAGTAAGACTTTCTTAAAATGCTGGAAAGATTTGGCCCCAGCTATAGTCTGTTCTTATTCTCCACCCCCACCCCACCTTCGTCCCGCCCCTGCTTCTTACCTGAAGCACTACCAACTCTTGCTTCCAGTCCCTTCCCTATACCACCCAGCCTCCCAGGTAGGCACAGTGGCATCCTTACTGTTTGCCACACACACCAGGAAGAGCACTCCCATCCCAGGACCTCCACAGACAGCAGCAGAGCAAAGAGCTTCACCTAATTCTGGTATCTGCTCCAGTACCATTTTCCTGAGTTACATTCTTGGACCATATAAAATAAAATAGAACTTCTCCTTCCCAGCACTCTCTATCTATATTGCTGCCTGACTGTACAGACGTATTTGGCTTTGGTTATTATGTCGATGGAGCCTAACTTCCGGGGAAACAGGAATGGTTTTGTTCCTTTTCTGTGTCTGGCACCTAGGACAGTGCCTGACACAGACTGGTTAATCTAATGTACGTTTTGAAAGAATGAAAGTCAATGTGTGTTTGTTTAGTAATGAAGATCTATTGGGAGGGAAGTGTAATGAACAATAAATCTAGGATGCTTATGTAGTAAAAAATTTGGCCTGGTCCAAAGAGAGGCCTGGCTCTTGCCCTAGGCTTCTGGGTAGTAATGTATGTCAGACCTGTTGGCTATGTCTTGTTTTTTAGGGAGGGGGCTGCCACATTCAACAGTTTCACCAGGAGGTGAGGGGAACTGGTCACACCAGAACGACCTTGTGATTTAGAGGGAAGGATTAGGGTCACGAGCTATCAATTGACCTCGTGATCGAGTTCAACCATATGAGCAATCAATCGATTATACGTATGTAATGGAACTGCAATAAAAATTCTGGACACCAGGCTTAGTTAAGCTTCCCTGGTTAGCAATACTCTACACGTGTTGTCAGACATCAGTGGAGAGAGGTTAATGTGTCCTGAGGACAATCTCCAAGTTTAGAACCCTCCCTGACTCCGCCCTATGCATCTCTTCCTTTGGTCACTTGTAACCTATACCCTTACCCTGTAATAAACTGCAGCCATAAATATAATGGCTTTCTGTGAATTCTGTAAGTCCTAGCCATTTACTAAAACTAAAGGTAGTTTTGGAAACACCTCCTACCCCCAATTTGCAGTTGATTATGGAAGTGAGGACAGTCTTGGGAACTCTGTCCTTAAACTTTTTAGTTTGGCTCACTCTAGGTAATGCTAAACACATACCCAGTAAGTCTCCCATTAAAAGGTGGCTTACAGATCATTAGGTCTAGCCTCACATTTTGCTGAAGAGAAAACTAAAGCCTAGTGAAAAGAACAGACTTGCCCGAATCACCCAGCGACAAACAGAGAGCATGGACCCTGGTGTCCTGCTCATCAATCCACAATGACTCTCCTCAACCTTTGTTTTGGGGGACATAGCACTTTTTGCTAAGAGGCTAAACAGCAAGTTATTGGAAATTAAGTTGGCTTCACTCCCAAGAACTTTGAGGTCAGTATCAAGGGGAGAAATTACCATTACTCTCCTTCAAAAGTTATGGGGGCCAGCCCCGAACAAAACTAAATAAGAGAGCTCCATATTCTTTTTCATCCTCATGATCTCCATTTTTCTGCCCTGAGGTGGGCCAAGCAGGGCTGTAGGTAGGGGTGCATCAATCCTCCTGACCCTCAGCTCCAGAAGTCTGGGAAGGAAGTCTTTACGTTCAGGTAGAATCAGCACAAATCACCCTTTCCCTAAACTGCTACATTCTGCCATTTTCTCCTTCTTTAGAAAAAACTTGTAAGTACAGGCGTTTTTGGAAACTATAGGACATATCACATGATAAACTTAGCTCATCCTGTGGGAAAACATTTTGATAAGTTCAAAGTGCTATGCGGACAAGGTTAATACTCTAGTTGTTACCATACTAGTAAGATAAGACAGAGAAGCCAAATTCATAAGCCAGGTGGACCTTGAATTTATAAGCAAGTCTGTATATATTTTAAAGCTCAATAAATATTTATGGAATAAATATAGAGCAAAAATAATTATATTAAACATGCTTCAAATAGAGACCCCTGCAATTTCCATTTGGCATGTGACAGGGCTATAAGGTGAACAAAGTATGATTCAAAGTTTATGAATTTGTATCTGAAAAGTAGAATAGGCTCTGAGTAATGACTTTAACATTGTAGGGTCACAGATCCTTTTTGAGAATTTGATGAAGATTTGTACTCTCTTCCCAGAAAAAAAAAAAAAAACCATTGTTTAGATGACTTTTTGCTTTCAAATGCTGACTCATTTTGTCTCTTTCATTTGCAGGACCATGAAGGGGTAAAAAAAAAGAGGGCCTATAAACAGAACCAATAATTANATCTGAAAAGTAGAATAGGCTCTGAGTAATGACTTTAACATTGTAGGGTCACAGATCCTTTTTGAGAATTTGATGAAGATTTGTACTCTCTTCCCAAAAAAAAAAAAAAAAACCATGGTTTAGATGACTTTTTGCTTTCAAATGCTGACTCATTTTGTCTCTTTCATGCACAGGAAAAGGAAGGGAAAAAAAAAAAAAACTACTTGGGACCAAAGTAAGGTCCAAAATTAAATGCAAGTTTAGAATCACAGTGCCATCACCTCTCATGCATATTTTTATATGGAGAATAATAATGGCCCTCACATATATAGCACTTAATAGTAATGCTGTAAGGCCAGATATGAGACTCCTTTCTAAAACAGGTCAGGTAAGTGCAAGAGGCAAATAGTCAAAATGACTTTTGAGAAATAAACTGCTTCAGTTCAAGTCTAGGCTCTGATATTTCCTAGCAGTAAAACTCGGGCAACTTACTTAATCACTCTGTGCTTCAAATTTTACTTACAAAATACTGATAATAACAGTATCTACTTCATAAGGTTGTTGTCAATATTAAATGGGTTAATATATATACAATATTTTAAATAAGCCAGAACACATAATACACACCAATCAGCGTTAGCTGCTGGTATGAGGCACAGCCTACTGCCATGAATACGTTCTCTGTTGTTGTCCATGTGGACGCCAGATTTATTCACGGTTCCAGTTCTCATCCCTGAATTGTTTTGGCAGTTCTGCTTTATTTCCCCTGACCCCATACCTTTCTTAGGCAAACTCAGAACCATGGTTTCATTACCAGGGAGTATAAAGCTCTCTCTGTCAGTGGGCTCATCATGGAGACATATGTTCATTCGTCATCATACATTTACAACCTGCCTGCTGTGTGCTTAGCACCAGCCTTCTTTATCTATCTATCATCTATCTATTTATCTATCTATTTTTGAGAGAGAGAGAAAGAGAGAGAGAGAGAGAGAGCATCCCAGGCAGGCTCCCCGCTCTGAACCGAGCCTGATGCAGGGCTCCATGTGGGACTCAATGCCACAGCCCTGGGATCATGACCTGATCTGAAATCAAGAGTTGATTGCTGGATAGTAACTGACTGAGCCACCCAGGGGCCCCTAGCACCAGCCTTCTTAGGCTGTGCTAAGGAATTCACAAATTAATTGCAGAGGTAAATGCTGAAATTCATGTGCAAATAAGAGACTAATCAAATGTTGACCTGCAAGACTCGTAACTGTTGTTACAACACTTCTAAGTGTTGACAGTATAAGAATTTAGAGACATCCAGCTGAGTGAGAACAGCCCCCAAAGGTAAAATAGACAATTCAAACACTTAATGGAGGTCTGAAGCAGGACTAGCTAGATAAAATGTGGGGCCCAAGCCAAAATTAAAACATGGGGTCCTTTGTTCAAAAAGTATTAGGAATTTCAAGAGTGACAGCAGAGCACTAATCCAAGCATGGGCGCGTCACATGCCCTTGGGGCCTGCCCTGCCCTGAAGGATGGTAGCAACTCCCAAAAAGATTCTCGCCTGCAACAGATTGGCACTTCCTGTGTGCCGTGTGTGTTTCTGCTTCTGTGTTTTTTTTTTCTTTCTTGTATTTGTCCTCCTAACTAAAAAGTTTTTGCTGATTTTTCAACCTATGCAAATCTTACATATCCTTCAAACTGTAGCTCAAGTCTTTGCTTAGAAGACACATGATGGGATGCAGAGGGCCCTGGGGTTGGAATGAGAAGGGATGAGGCAGGATCTGCCTTTCACCAGCTCTGGAACTGTGGCCAAGTCTCTTTGCTGATACTCACTTGGGGAAACTGACTTTAAAAGTCTCTCAGAGGATGATGGGGAGATCAAAAGGCATCACAAATACAAAAGAAGTTTGGAATAAGAATTGCTCATATTGAGCTTCATAATTTTTTTTTTGATAAAGGCCTCCCTAGCTTCTACAAACAGGTGGGGCTTGTTCTAAGTGGACACACACACACACACACACACACAACTGTGCAAACACATGCATGTCCCTTCCATTGCTGCCTCCTATTTGACATGTATGAATTTTCAATTTTATTTTTTCACTTAACTTCTTAAGGTCATCAAGCCTTCAGACTTCACCCCTTCCAATCCATCCTCCTCACTAAGTGAGCATGATCTTTGTAACTCATAGATCTGGTTCTCTCATTGTTCTAAACCCCT